GACGAAACATGACAAAGGCATCAATAATAATAATCAAATGGGTGAATGAATGGTTGAACCAAAGACAAAAGACGAATGACGGCAATGGTGGGTTGTCTTTGCGTGAAACCTGCATAAAAAATAATAAGATAATGTAGTTAGTAATTAGTATTGAAATGTAATATAAAGCAAGAAGAAAATTTAATAAAGAATTTAACCTTTCTTGTGCCTGAAAATTTGGGTAAGGCTGAAGTCATTAAATAAAATAAAATCATTAATAAAATTAAACTAAAAAAAATTATACTCGCCAAATCTATACGCCTCAAGTAGAGAAAGCTATTGCTTTGTGAGTAACCCGTCGTTTAGCCTGTCACATTATATATTATATTGTATCTTAAAAAACATATTTCTGAAGAAAATCAATTATATTAGAGATTGAATAATTTTTTTTCTACTTCTCCAAATTTATTCTTTGTATATTAAAAAGCAAACCATAACAGATAAAATACTTTATTATACTATTTGATACTTGAACTGGACGTAAACCTGAATTGCACAATTCTACCCAAGTGTTTCGATTACTGACTTCCAGATCGACCGCATAACCTAGATCGTAGTCCTTAAAGGTTCGATAAAATTGTCCATACTTTACGATATACAAACCCAGTTCAACATATTAGAAGGAACTTAACCAATTAAATAATTTTCCTTTAACTACCTAAATACAATTTTTATGTTAACGACTCTGAGCTGATTCGGTATCGTATCGCCAATAGCTCTCCCTTAGCCGTAACACCGTACAAATAACTATAAATTATTATTTATAGAATTGAATTAGCAAAAAAATTTTGCTTAAATTTTTACTTCACTATAAACTTCTTTCATCGTGGCTTAACGAAAGAAATACAATCCCAATACGTATTCTGAATCTAAATTGAAACATATTCTTGAGGAGTGTCATTTCTCGCAGTCAATTAGTAGTAGAAATTTAATTACATAGTCAAAAAAAATTATTCCTTCCAAAATAAGGGCTTTACAGCTTGAGATTCACAGTAACGCTATAAATATCTGATTCATTCAAAGTATTTTTATACTAGAACGGTTACACAGAAAGCGTACCGAATGATCGTGGAGTAAATTAATTGACATTATTTTACTACAGTAACAACTAGAATATGATCATGTAGGCTGCTTCGCCGCCTTGAGAATATTATCCTAATTAACTAACTTGTATTTGCATTATAATTCTCTTAATGATATAGATTGACTAAGGATTGGACCGATATAAACTACTGCTATATAAATTTATACATGGATATCTAGATCTTAATATGTACATTCAAATTAGTGCCATTTTTTGTCATGGTGCATTGTAAATGGCAAATTTGCCCACCCAAAATACTGCGGATCCGATATTATTTAGTCCGCTAAATTATTTTTCCAGCAGAAATTATTGTTGGCCTGTAGATCAATGTTTCTAGGATCTACAACAAATAATTCTAAAAACAAAAAGATTACCGTTACCCTATCGTCATAAATCCCGAGTAAATCCCGTTATTGCTTACATTTCTTTACACTAACTAAAAAATGGCGAATAAACCAAAACCTGTTCTAGTACTTCTAGGTAAGTTTACACTAATAATTTTGTGATATTCCTTTGTTATTTGGCATTCACTACCTTTAGAATTTTTCCAATTTTTGTTAAAATTGTATTAAAGTTAACATATACAAAACTTCGCATTATTTCCCACTAGGTGAAGCCTCTACTGGTAAATCTAATTTAGTACTCAGATATGTTAATGATGAATTTATGGAAGATAAAGAACCGACTATTGGTGGTAAATAATTTAAAGTCAATCTCAAAAATTACAAAATTTCTTTCTGCTTTTACGTTTCCTGAATTTATATGATCTTTAAAACATTCCTAGCTGCTTTCTTTACAAAAAAGTGTCGTCTTGAAGATAAATTAATTAAATTCGCAATCTGGGATACTGCTGGTCAAGAAAGATTCGATCCCCTAGCTCCAATGTATTATCGAAATGCTCAGGCAGCTATAGTTGTCTATGATGTAACGAAGGCTGTAAATTGGAATTCAAAATTACATTCTTTAAAATATATGATTAAATGGTTTCTTAGTGTTCCAACATATATTTAACATAATTTTAACTTTAATAATTAGGCCTCACTTGACAAAGCTAAATTTTGGGTAAAAGAATTGCAACACAAGGCAAATCCAAAAATTGTTATTGCTCTTGTAGGTAATAAAATAGATCAAGTTCAAGAAGAATCCGGTAAGAGTGTGAGACAAGTACCCACTGAAGAGGCTAGAGCCTACGCCCTTAAAGATGGCTTGCTATTTTTTGAAACTAGTGCAAAAAAAGGAGATGGTGTGCGGGAAGTTTTCGTAGAAATTGGTAAGGATATTAATATTCGACAGACATACAGTTAATGTTTTATAAAATTTATATTAATTTAATTATTTAATAGCCAAGAGGATTCATTTTGAGCATTCCAGTAGTCGCTCAAGTCAAATATATAATAGTGATAAAAAAATAATTAGAGTTGAAAAGGATGAATATAAGGCGTTCAATGATTATCTAACTTCAGCTACGAATGGTGATGCTAATGGAAGCTATCATGTTGGACTTTATTATCTAGAAGGACGGGGAGGAGTTGAAAAAGATGAAAAAAAAGCGCTCGAATTCTTTTTGATATCTGCCCGTAAGGATAATTTACAAGGAATAATCGAAGTTGGTAAATGTTATAGAAATGGGATAGGAGAATTAAGAAATATTTGGCAAGCTAAACGTTGGTACCAAAAGGAAAGAAAGATAATGAAATCGTTGTTATCATTATACGAACAAGATATTAATATTGATAATAGTGTAAAGGAATTATTAAATGATAAGAACTATCAACTGTCATGGATTCCTTATAGCGAATTTAAAGTTCTAGAAAAAATCGGTGACGGTGAATTTGCAACGGTATATAAAGCTGAATTGCTTGACAAAAATAAAAATTTCATTTCATATTGTATACTTAAATCAGTTAATGGGTCAAATAAAAGTAGTAAAAATTTTTGCGATAAATTGAAAATATATTGTGATATCGGGTACGAGGAACCTTCGTTATTACATTGTTATGGAATATCAAGACATCTGGACGGAGAATACGTAATCGTCATTAAATACGCCGAGAAGGGTTCACTGAGCAAAAATCTTCGTGAAGTATCAAGAATGGAATGGAAAAAAAAATTAAACTTACTATATTGTATTGCTAGTGATCTCGAATCTATTCATTCTCTAGGTTTTGTTCATAGTGATTTACATAGTGGAAACATTTTGCAAGATCATTTAAACGGTGCATACATCGCAGATCTGGGACTTGTATCGAACTCAGGATCAAGCAATAGTATCATGGGTGTCGTGCCTTACGTTGCTCCCGAAGTCTTACTAGGACAAAAGCTCACACCAGCATCAGATATCTATGCGTTGGGAATAATCATGACGGAGATAACGACAGGAACGAGGGCTTTTGATGGAATGTCGTTTAATCAGACTAATTTCTCACAAAAAATCTGTCAAGGAGAGCGACCAAAGATCGCACCCGGAACACCAGATTGTTACAAACAATTGGCCCATCGATGCATGAATTCTGACCCGAAAAAACGACCTACTGCGGCTGTTATAAATCACTGTATCGGCTATTGGCTCGATATGATGGATCAAGACAATAAGAACGACGTCAAGAAACAATTTTCAAATGCCGACAGGGTCAAACCAGAACCAATCGAACAGAAACATCCGCAATCAATGTATACCAGCAAACACATACCGGTAGTCGAAAGAGATTAAGAAATTAGAGAAGGTTCTAATGGGACGATATAAAATTTTTGTAGAAATGATTGATTGGTAAAATGTGACAGAAAGAAACTATGATTCGATTTTTGAGGTTGACATTGAACAGGTAATAAATGAAGCACTTGTCACAATCAATAAAAAAGCTTTTAGTATCTGGACACGATAAAAAACAAATATAAATATTCGACATACAGTATATTAGAGAAAGTTCTAACGGGCTAATTTATCAATTCTGTTGATATTCTGTAGATAGCGGTTGGGTGGTGATAAGTTTGAGGAAATAAACGTTCATGATGAAGAAAAA